TGGATTAAAATCCGGGGATTGGGCTGGCCACTCCATAATGTCAATCTTGTTGGTCTGGAACCAAGATGTTGCACGTTTACTGGTGTGTTTGGGGTCGTTGTCTTGTTGGAACACCAATTTCAAGGGCATTTCCTCTTCAGCATAAGGCAGCATGACCTCCAAGTATTCTGATGTATTCAAACTGATCCATGATCCCTGGTATGCAATAAATAGGCCCAACACCGTAGTATGAGAAACATCCCCATATCATGATGCTTGCGCAACCATGCTTCGCTGTCTTCACAGTGAACTGTGGCTTGAATTCAGTGTTTGGGGGTCATCTGACAAACTGTCTCCGGCCACTAGACCCAAAAAGAACAATCTTACTTTCATCAGTCCACAAAATGTTGCACCATTTCTCTTTAGGCCAGTCAATGTGCTCTTTGGCAAATTGTAACCTCTTCAGCACGTCTTTTTTTCAACAGAGGGACTTTGCGGGGGCTTCTTGCAGATAGCTTGGCTTCACGTAGGCGTCTTCTAATTGTAACAGTACTCACAGGTAACTTTAGACCTTCTCTGATCTTCCTGGAGCTGATTGTTGGCTGAGTCCTTGCCATTTTGGCTATTCTTCTATCCATTCGAATGGTAATTTTTCGCTTTCTTCCATGTCTTTCAGGTTTTGGTTGCCATTTTAAAGCATTTGCGATCATTTTAGCTGAGCAGCCTATCATTTTTTGCACTTTTTTATATGTTTTCCCCTCTCCAATCAACTTTTTAATCAAGGTACGCTGTTCTTCTGAACAATGTCTGGAACTACCCATTTTCCTCAGAATTTCAGAGAGAAATGCTCTGTAACCAGCATGTACAACATTTGCTGCCTTCCTTCCTTAAATAAGGGCCATAATTGCCACCTGTTTTTCAAAGAATGAATGACCTCACTACTAGAACTCCACACTGCTATTATTTTGAACATGCCCCTTTCAATTAGTGATTCAATTACACAGAATCAGCAGCATGCATGTCATGACTGTTGGGTCTTTTGGATTTCTATTACTCTACTACACCTGCTAGTAAATTATTTTCCATGTAGAAATCATTTCTACCAAAAACAGTGATTGATCAGGTTAGTGATGTCTGACTGCTATTATTTTTAACACAACTGTACCTGGATAGAGAACTGGTTGCAGAAGCGCATCCAGAGGGTGGTGATTAATGGCATATTTTTTTGAATGGTCTAAGGGTGTAAGTGGGTACCCCAGGGCTCTGTCCTGGGACTAGTTCTACTTAACTTGTTTATAACCAATATAGAAGTTGGAATAAATAGTTCAGTTTCTGTGTTTGCTGATGCTACAAAGCTAAGCAGGGCGATAACTTCACAGCAAAATTTAGCAACTTTACATAAAGACCTAGATAAAATAGAAGGGTGGACAGCTATATAGATAATAATATAAAACAAAGTGAGCGCTACTGATAAGTTATCAATGGTCAAATAAGCAGCTAAATGCACTGAAGATGATCACAACCACTTCTGATAGAATAAATAAGTAAAGTGCAGCGCTAAAAATTATGATATAAAATTTTACAAAATTCGATCTAAATAGTTCGATGAAAAATAAAAGTTCATAAAATCTTGCGAACGATTCATGAATATGGTGAGCACAGCTTATAACAAATCCGGATAATGGCAGAAATGCGCACTCACCGACCACGCATAGGAAATGCGCATGTGTGTATCAAATCCCACAGATGTCATTATCCTCCGGGAAGTGGTGTCGTCAGTCAATCTGCTGGGCTAGCAGGGCCTCCTTAGATTTGGATCAGCCAGGATACACGTTCTTTCCAGGTACAGGGTTCCCTCCTCTGGATAGGATATGTAGCTGGGTATACAAAATGAGGAAGACAGTGCTATATAGATAATAATGTTGATAAGCATAAAGCACTTGAGAGCTAAAAATATAAATGCACGTTACTTGCTGCTGGGGGGAGAACCTAAGGAGACCACAGACTCGGCAATATCATCTATAAATTTACCATTTTAAAAAAACCCTGGTTCAGCTACATCTTGAGTATGCCATCCAGTTTTGTTCATCGGTCTTCAGGACGATTTTCCTTGAACAGGAGAGAGTCCAGAAGAGATGCTTAAGAGTGGATATGATCACAATATACAAATCTTTAAATGTGGACTCTGACTGTGTGTCTTTAGAGAGCTTAGGTTAAATAGTTTCCTCTTAATGCTACACAATAAGTGTGGATGAGAAGCAGTTCAGTGTTACATTGCATTAGAGGTTCTTTACTGTTAGAGTGGTAATGATTTGGAACCCCCTTCAACAGTTGGTGGTATAAGTGGAGAGAGTAAATAAATTAAAAAAAACTTAGATATGCTTCTCTGCAAACACAAAGTGCAGGGATAATGGAAATGGTAGTGACCTAAACACACACACATTAAACTGGATAGATTGGTGTCTTTATTCAGCCATACCAACTTTGTAAATCCATGCTCTTAACCACCATTTTTTGTAGAGGAAGCATCGTTCTGCTTCTGCTCCTGGCTGCAGATGATACACAGACCTATTCTTGGTTCAGCTGCCTGAACCCTCACTTGGTGCCAACAGCTGGTCATATCGTAGACTCTTTGTCAATAGTCCTGCAGTCCTAGGTGCCTCCTACCAATGGGAAGATCTCACTGCAATCATGCAAGATTTTCTAGGCCAAAGTGCAACTTCTAATTCTGTAGAAATGGAATATATGGGTCTCATCCTAGACACAGCTCAAGCTGTTGTTTTTTGTTTTTTTTTCTTCCGGAAGAGAATCTTTAAACTCTCCACTCTTAGACTCGGCCTTTTCAGTCTAGCAGTCAGCTGACTCTATGCCTTTGCATGACAGTCCTGGGCTTCATGGTAGCTTCTTTCGAGGCATTCCTATTTGCCCAATTCCACTCAAGACCTGTACACCTTAACATTCTGTCATCCTAGGGTACGTCAGTTGAATTGGTCTGTCCAGAGATGAGCTTGAGCTAACAACGAAGGCCAAGTTGTCCCTGGCCTGGTGGCTCATGAATCTAGCTCTGTTGGGGGAAGTCCTTTATTCCATTGGAAGATCCTCAAGATGGATGGATGCCTGCCTGACTGTGCAGGGGACTTAATCATCAGAGAAATCTTGTCACCCGACCGATATTCTGAAGCTTCCATTGATTTGGTTGTCTTTGTTGTCTTTTCAATGCTGAACATCCTCACTGCACTAGTCAGACAACTCCACAGCGGTGGCATACATCAAACATTAGGAGGAATTATCCATGCCAAGAAAGGCATAAAGGCAGAAAGAATTCTGCTCTGTGCAACTTCACTTTCCAGCCTAGTTTTCCATTTACATCCCAGGCAAAGACAATTGGCAGGCAGTCTTGTTCAGCCAGCAGCACTTGGATGTCGGGAAGCAGTCTTTACACCTGGAGGTGTTCTAGGAACTGTCACATTTGGGGGAAACTGGATATGAACTAACTGCCCTCAACAACAACTGGGGTAACAGCAAACTGGGCAGGTTTGTCAACAGATACAGACATCCTTTAGTGGAAGCAGAGGAAGCTCTAGTGCTTCAGTGAGATTAGTATAGTTTGATCTATGCCTTTCCTTTCCTGAAAATCCTTCCTCGTCTGCCCCATAGCATTCCAGTGATCCTTATAGTTCTGGATTGGTTCAGGCAGATGGTGGTACTCATACCTGATCAGGCTCCTATCAGATGCTCTATTGGCTTTTACAGATTGTCTGGATACTCTGCCCCAAGTACCAGTTTACCATCCTGCTTCATGGTTGTAGGTTTTAATGGCATGGCTGTTGAAGACCAGGGCCTAAGGAATAGGGGCAATTCTAAATTCTTAATTCCCATGATGCTAAAAGCAAAGAAGTTCACATCACACAGGCTTTATCATTTCACATGGGAAGGCATACTTTGCATTGTTTTAGCAAAGGAACTTTAAATACAGAAAATTCTGAGTGAGAGCAATCATAGAATGCAGTTTTGCTTGAATCAGTGTCCTGCCTGAAATCCCATAAAGTTTTAGTTCTTGGCACTTACAATCTTGTTCCATAGACCAATAGCTTCCCACTCTTTTTATAAGACTTTTGTACAGGATCTCTTTCATTTGGCTCCCCTGTGACTCTGTGGGATATAAAGTAGTTATTTCAGCATTTCAAAAACTGTCCTTTGCAAGTGAATGGGGAAATGTTAATATCCCTAACAGATTCAAAGTTGTGTTTCTTCCTGCCGTCACCTTTTTTAGGTGTCTGAGCTTTTTAAGGCTTTGTCTTGTAAAGAGCCATTTCTGGTCTTACACAAGGACAAGGTAATGTTGAGGTATAAAGTATCCATTCTTCCTAAGGTGGTTTAAGCCTTCAACCTTTTAACCTCAACCAGGAAAATCCAACCCTCCAGTTTGAGGTGTTCGTGTCTACCTCTTCATACCTAGCACTTTTATTCCTTTTAGAAAGACTGATTCATTCTCTTTAATTCCTGATGGTCCCCGTAAGGAGGAACCATCATTCAAGCGTATGGTCTTAAGGATCAGATTCCACCTTTTCCTGTCTGTGAATGCTTCTTGGGTGTTTTGGTGTTCACTGATTTGCAAGAATGCCATGTGGTTTTCTGTTCACATGTATTCCAAATTTTACTAGGTGGATGTTGAGGCCCTTTCAAAAACTACTTTGGGCTTCAGGTTTTGAGGGGAAGGCAGTTCCCAGTTCTGTTCTTTTTGTGGGGGCCTGTAAATGTTGTGCACGCCCCTTAGTTGGACTGCTTTTGGATGTTCCAACAGTCTTTGAATGCATCCTGTCCAAAAAAGGGGCTTAATCTTCTGTAACTGTTTTGGATTTGGTGGGAAAGTTGATAAATATATTTTTTTCAAACGATATCTTCAGAAAAACTTGCATTGCTGCTGTCTGTCTACTTTTTTATTGTGTATATTTGTGTCTGCAAGATCTGTTAATAAAATCCCAAAGTATAAGTATCTTGAATCTGTGACTTTTATTTAGTGCATCAAATAAAGATTCCTCTCCACCACCTGAAGAATGCCTGCAGTTACTGAGTAGAGCAATCCAAGTGTTTCGAGAAGAATATGTCCTTAAAATGGACCTGGCACGGGAAGAGATCCAGAGACGGTAATACTTATTTGACATTTTCTTTTTATACACACAAATGCTTTGTATATTTGTAACATGTAATTGATGCATTGTCAATTGTTTGCTTAGAGTGAAGTTACTGATGTTCCAGAAAAAGAAACAGATGGAAGATTTGCAGCACTGTAAGGAAGAGCGGTACGAATTTAATCTCTCACTTGTTAAGCTCATGTATTAGTATTTTGGTAGTCTCAAGGTCTCCAACTGTAGGAACTGTATTTATGCAAATATTGCGCATCTGACATTTGTTGGCATGGGCCGGACAGGATCATTGACGATGTGGGGGGATGATTCTAAACCTCTTCTTGCATCCATTACCTGTGCCCGCTCCCTGCAGCGCCACGATCTGTGTCCGCTGTGTCCGGTCACAGCAGAACACAGATCTCTGTATGGGGCCGCTGTGTGAGGTTCCCAATTCATTTTATCACTGATTGGCCAAATGGGGATAACATGAACAATAGTGAAGAAGATGTCACTTCCTGACATTGTTTACTACTTGTGAATTCTGTGAATGATCACAGAGGTCACATGGTACAAGGCCTTGTACATATGATAAGCTTTGACCAATTACAGCTCTCACAGTATTTCTCAATGGCTGCAGGAATTCAGAGAGAAGGAGATATGATTGCTTTTACAGTCTTTATGGGTGTAAAAGCAATCTGTGTGAAGAAAAAAAAAAAATCTTGATCACCCCCCACAAGTAGTACAGTGTCACTATAGTGACACTGTACTGCTACTGTGACGGTATGTAAGAGGAAAAAAATAAAACATTAAAAATATTAAAAAAATTCAAATGTGAAAAAATATTTTGAATAATTTTTCTATAAACTGGTTTGAGTTATTTATTTTTTTTTACTAAAAAGGTAGCAGAATACATTATAGCCAAAATTTATGAAGAAAGATTATTTGCAAAGATTTTATAAGAAACATGTTTTGTTCAAAATCTCCAGTCTTTTTTTCAGTTGTATAGCAAAAAAATTTAAATCCCAGTGATGAATAAATACCACCAAAATAAAGTTCTATCTGTCTAAAAAAAAAATTGATAAAAATGTAATTTGGGTACAGTGTTGCATGACCGTGCAATTGTCATTCAAACTGTGATGGGGCTGAAAGCTGAAAATTGGCCTGGACTGGAAGGGGGTTAAAGTGTCCGCACTTGCAGTGGTTAAAAAGATTGGGTGTTCTGCATCTTCTTTTATAATGTGTGCAAGACAGTGAAGATAAACACCAAAGAACTTTCACAACACAATGTATTAACAGAGCCATTGGAGATTATTTCCTAAAACTGGACAGTGCAAAATCTGGTGCAACTCTAGAAACCAGTCAGCTTCTATTGCCAAAGCCTAATTGAATAAGTTGAAGTTAGAAGCGGATTGGCTACCATGCACAGCTGCACCAGATTCTGAGTGCTCCACTTTTAGAAAATCTACCCCATTGTGTGTTAGAGCTAAATCTGTAGGTCTTGACTGATCATATTAAATTCCTGCAAGGATAGAACAAAGTTTTTGATGACCAGTACTACAGTTAAAAGATAAGTGGCGATGTCTAATACCTTCATGACTTTCCTCTGTATCTTAACCTAAATAATTTTGCCTTTACATTTTTAGAGCCAGATCTTTTGAGGATTCCGCAACATGTTGGTTTTGTTAATGCTTTTACATGTCTCCACTTGTTCTACGTGGCTAACATAACTAGATTTAATTTGCTTTTGCCGTCCTGGAAAAGTACGGCAAAAATGCACCAGTAAGAAAGGACCCTTTTGTGCCTGGGTGGCTACGCTTATTTCTCAGGGATGTGCAATTCCTATCACCCGATGCCCAGGACATGTAGGTTTTTTTTTTTGTTTTGTTTTGTTGGGTTTTTTTTTTTTTTTACAGTTAGCCCTGCTGCGAGCAAGGTGTTTTTTTTAGGCCGGTTCTCTTGTAAAAGCAATCCTTGTGGCTAGCCAGCCGCTGAATTGCTTTTACTAGTGAGGGAGATGTCCGTGGTCTGAAATCTTTCACGGCTTTAATGGACTCCGAAGTCCTGGCCCCGCCTCCTAGTGGTTGGCATATGGATTTCTGGGGCTGGCACAGGCAGATGGTCTAATCCGCGAGCTCAGCAATTAATGGTGCACCTTGCAAAGGAGCGAGTGCTGAGACTCAGGAAGAGCTTCAAGAAGCAGCCGAAGGGCAGATTCCACACCATCAAATGTGAGGGGGGGGGGGGGGAGACTCCAACTGACTTCCAGGGGGAAGGGATCAGAGTGCAGTAAACCATAGCAACCAATCTCTGGATCAGAATGTTGTAACTCCTAGCAACTGACCTCCAGCTGTCCATAGATGGGGAAAGGGGGCTCAGAATGCAGTAACCCATAGCAACCAACTTCAGCTCCCAATAGACTTGAATGGGAGGGGGTTAGAGTGATGAGGGATCTAAGTGGGGTAAAGTCTCTCCATAAATAGTAGCTGTCACTGCCTATTGCTGTCACAAGGAATGCTTACATTAGCCTTGTATCTTTTGAATAGACTTGTTAAAGGGGGTCTGTATCCATTGTGGATCCATCTTAGGAAAGTGACCACAATTCTAATGAAGGATCTGTCTTCAAGGACCTCTCTGATACTGAAGCCCTCCCTCTAGAACATAAAGTATATGTAAATCCTCACCTCATCAAACAACACATTCGGTTTAAAATAGAAATGAAAGGCAAAACATTTGTCTGACACACACACACACACACACACACACTCACACTCTTTGGTTTTTTTTATAAGTGATCACATTTCCTCAGTTCTCAGGTGCTTAAGAGCTAGGGGAGGAGAAAGTGTAGCATACTGGATTTCCCAGTAAAAGGCATAGCTAGAGAACTGAAAATGGTGTGTTCTCCTGCTTTAGTGTGGTCAGTTTTTAGTAGAGCAGAGAGACACAAACACCAGGGATTTCACACAAAGGAAGCAATACAAAGAGAACAGGATCATTTTTCATACAAGAACATGGTATAGCAGGCACATATCAGGAATATGAAATGGTGTGTTTACATACTCTTTAATTCTTGCTGCTAGGTCCTGATTTCTGCACAGTCTTAAATATGACCTCAATTTGCTGTTTTGACCAGTCTATTAGAAGGGATCTGGTCATCATTGCATTTGCTCGTCTGGTTATAGAATGTTTGGAACAAATGGCTATATCTTTGAGCTACAGATGTGATGGGCTGCTGAAGTTTTCCTGTCTGTGCAAGTTTTGTCGGTTTGCATGTGGAAGACACCTTGGTTAAAGTGTGTTAGATTGTGAAACCTGAGTCACCTACTCCACATGGCCTTCCAAGACACAATGTCTCCTTGGGTCTTCTGTGGATGGCATTATCAAAGACACCTCAGGTGGCAAGTTCACCTACCTTACTCAGCCAAAGAAGCCTTAAAGTGGAACTGCACTGCATCTAAGAGCCACAAACCAAAAATGCTATATAATTAATTTTTAATATTCAAAGCAAATTCACCCATCCATTCCTGTCTTCAGGCTTTTATTTTGCTGAGAAATCATTTTGAAAAGCACCCCTTGGCATTTCTGGCTGTGGTCACCTTGAGTAAGGGTAGATGATTTATGTATCATTTACTTCCTTGATTCAATCTGCCATTAGTTCAGGCAAGTAAATATGATATACTTTCCTATCTGTTTACTAAAGCCAACAGAATAAGGATTAAAAATAGCTCATGTTGATTAAGAAAGTGAAATTCCGCTTTAAGCGCAGTCTGGGAAGGTTCACCCCTTGCTGGAGGTTAATGAGTCCTTTTGGTTACTCTACATCCATGAAGTCCAAGCCTGGCTCCCAGCCCACCCACAAGGTCTGAAACTCCAAAACTGCCTAAGCCTCAGTAAAATCTTCCGACATGAAGGCCCACCTCCACTTTCCAAAGGATGGATGTGGAAAAATGTAATGTTTTTGGTTGCCTGTATTCTGTTCTTTCTTCACAGGGGCTTGGATCATAGGTTGGCCCTTAGTTCGATTAAGGCCTGGTTCACACCTATGCAGTTTGCTTTTGATCCATTTCTACAGTTTGTTTTGTTGTATGCGTTTTTACGTTTTTTATGTATATGGGGTTTTTTTTGGCCAATTTGTTGCTGGGCAGATTAAAAAAATTCAAAATGTGTCAAAAATGCACTACATGCTTTTTTGTAGTCTCTCCATTGAAGACTATTGAACCAAAAACGCACCGTTTTGCGTTTTAAAAAAAAAGTCTCTTTTTCCAAAAAATGCAAAAAAGCATATATGTAAACGTGCCAGATAGGAAACAATGGTAAATGGACTGTAGTGTGTTTCTGCTAAAAGCAGCAAAAAACACATAGGTTTGAACCAGGCATAAGGGCCAGGTCTCTGCTTTGGCTGTTGTTTTTTTTTTTTTTTTTTTGCCATCCCATGGCTTTCTTTTTTCTGGTTGGTACCTTTTATCCAGGAGATCATTTGGATGGCCCCACCTTCTAGTCCCCTTGACCATTTTTTGGACCTGAACCTGGTCTTGTTGGCACTACAAAAGTTTTCGTTTGAAAAAATCTGGAATATTCCCTGTCACGATCGCACGGTCGCCGCCACCAACATGCGGCAATCGCACGACCGCAACTAACAGTAATACGTCACGCCCGCGGCGTCAGACCCCAGACCTTCTCACCAACTCGTGACCGAAGAATCGGCCGATCTAAAACCGTGGTGTGATGCGCGTAACAAGGCCCCACCCAGCTGCACCCTGCACAGCGATTGTCCAGCTAATGGGCTACAATCGGTGCCTGCAGCCTGAATGCGCTTGTTACTGGGTCGGGTTAATTACGCAACTAACCCTCTACTGCCACCACCACTTTTGTCGGAGACTGGGAAACTCCCTTTATCAAATATACACTATAATGATTGAAAAGTCACCTGTCCAATACGGTTACCGCAGGCCGATTGGGCAGAGGATTAAACAAACACAGTAGCGTCTCTTCAAAGGCAGGAATTCGTGAATTGCAAGTAAGCACTTAAAAGCAGTTTAACACTTTCAGAAGAAAGATTTATTACTAAAAGAGTCATACAGGTGCAATAAAATATTTACAAAGAGATGTCACTAAAATATATATATATGTATATAAAGATACAGCAAAGAGATAATAGGAAGGGAGTTACAGGGTTA